CACTGAAACCATTCAGTTTACCAATGCTCTATTTTATTCAGGGAAAATCAGTTCAGAATGGCACCTAATATTTGTGGGAAAGTGTTTAGAGGAGAATAACTTTTTCGATTCGAAATTCGTACTCTGCTAAATGTTATGGATTGAAAAGGGTAAGGTAGACACCTTTAAGCGGGCTGCTAATAATTCATTTAAAGTTTGTAATATGGATCCTAAATGTTTAGTGCGACATGCATGATGTAAATATGAAGCAAAATTTCTTTTAACGATGTTGCAGTTGGAAATAAACGCACATATCAAGAACATTGAAAAGCAGCTGCCTGATTTGCACTGCTGAAACCTACTCGCTTTGCAAGAAGTCAAGCTGCAATTAAACGTTAACTCTTTGTTTCATGGGCACTTCACTTGTTGTAGTTTGTTATTCATGACCAGGTTTTTCTTTCATTTGTTCTATGTATGTATTTATAACAATACAGCTTAGGAAAGCTTTCAGACGCCGAGCTTCGCTTAGAATAGTTGCGATCTTTTTCATTTTAACAAAACTGCAATGTTTACCTCAAAAGAAAAAGAAATAATATATTCATTCATACATACAAGCATGCAGACAGAAACGTCAGTCTATCTTGTCCTCAGTAAAAAGGCTTATGGTTTAACACATCAGTAAAATAATTTTACTCACACAATTATTGTGTAAGAGCAAATGGTGATTGCTGTAGTGTCAGTAATTTAACGTCAATTTAAAACTTGAATGCCACAAAAGTTGGCTTCAACTTGTGGATCTTTTCAAGTTGAGAAACACGCCTTTCCAAATGTTTCCGATTGAAATTATGCTGCGGTGCTTTAAGTCGATCGAAATACACGAAAATTGCTTTTAGCTATTGTGTTTTAGAAATTACAACTGATATAAATGTTAGTGAATGGACACGAAAACTGCATTAAACATTTCAGACTCAAAAACATTAAACCTTGTATTATATGGTCTTATTTTGCGGTTATTCGCCCCACAAGCAGAATACTTCATAGGATTGACTTTTTAATTTAATAATAATCACCCATTAGCATAAAGGACGCTAACGGTGGGTTTATACACGAGAATAAGGATAAAGGTTAAGGCATAAGAATAACGCTTAAGGAATAACGCCTAATCGGTGTTATAAAGCAGAATAAGGAACAATATTATTTTATGTACAGCCAATCAAATGGAAGCATAGGCTTAAGAAACAATAGGGTTGTATCTGTTTATGTCAACATTATGGCCCTAACATACCAATAAAAGCTTAATTTCACATAAATATTGTACATTAAAATAGATTGGTCCACTGGAGAAGTGGTAGTTATTTTTGGATTAATAACCTCACAACAAAATGTAAATACGATGCTTGGCGGTCACGTGGGATATTGGAATATAATTTATCTTACAAACTGCGCATGCCTCATTAGAATAAAGCCTAACGCATAAGATCAAAGTTAAAAGTTGGCAACTTTCTTAAGCGTTAAGCGTTATTCCTTATTCTCGTGTATAAACCCACCATAACGTGCGCCTGTAACAATTGAGGGTATTTTGATTAGAACTATTTTCTTGTTAAACAAGACATTAAACCATCAAAGACTACAACCGAAATCGGCACTTTTAGAGAATTGCAATTCACATCTCGCTAATCTGTTTGGTTTTGGAAGTGGATTAATTTTGCAGTAAAGTAGTTAAGAAGAGCAGAAGAGGAAATTGCGAATGCTAATATGATCAAGCAATTTATTGCACAGCGTTCCAATTCAAAAAGTAAAGCAAATTAAGCTTATAGAACAGCGTGTGCTTCTTCAACTAAGTAATAAAAAAGGGGAATTCAATGAATTTTTCATGTTGAGTTGATTGTATTATCTAAGCGCATAAGTGTAATTGAGATATTGGGTCTGATTAATAACAATGGAGCATTTGATCGAAGTTCAAAATAAAATTAAAAAAGCAAAAGCAAAATAATTTGTTTCGTTTCTGATGAATAATTCTTTGGGTTTCCTTCGTGGACACATGCGTAGTATTTAGATCGCTTGCAACACTTGTTAACAAGTCTAGACAAGAATATTTTATTGTCTGGTGGTCTGGTTGACTATAAGACAGACTTTGTAAGTCATAATGTGAGTGCGGAAGAAGCAATGCTATGAGCTCCGAGGAAAAATGCATGACTTGTGAAGAGTTTCAATTTGTTCCTCTTTTCAAAATCCAATCAATACCGTTATTTGTGTCTTTATCATTCGGTGACGTTTCCGTCCGTCTTTTGTAACATTTTACAGCTCAGATTATTAAGGAACGCTATAATTACTGCCCATGTGTCGCTTCGTCAGACGCGAAGTCTGCACTGGATGTAGTTTCAGAAAAATGGAGCTTTTGCTAAAAGTTTTTGTTTTGATAGGCAATATTTACCGTTTAAGGAAGAGTGTTCTTCGCACAAATTCGAAGTAATTATTAGATTGTAAGCTTCGATTTTTGCGCCTTTAATATTAGCCCTATATTAATGAAATTTTGTAACAATTCAGCATATCAGAGACCGGATAATTCGGACGTAGTTGAATACAATAATACAAAACGCAGTGTTATTTCATTAAAATTATCTGCTGGCTAGATACCGTAACAAAACCTGTCAGTACTGTGTCGCCATAAATCAAAATCGATTCATTTGCAATACCCGTTGCTGATATTTCGATATTTTTACGGTCGCTTCAATTCACGATAGCTGTCGCACTCGGGCCAATCACACGTGCGATATGAACGCATCTGCTCGGTTCCGACAAAACAACCGATGATTTACGGCATTTCGATAATTTTATAAAGCGATTATTTTATTAAACAATGCCTGTCCCTAGCCAATGCGGAAGTAATTTATGGGAGATGCGCGACAATCGGTTCGTATGTTTGCAAACTTCCCTTCGGACGTTCGAATTCTATTTCCTTTTGGCTGCCGATTGATTTTTAAAATAAATGGTCCCTTATTTATTTGTCTGCTTAGTGGTGAGTTATAGATTTAGCACAATTCGCTTGTTTGATTATTACCCGATTTCAGAAATAACGCTGCAATTAATTGTGCATAAAGTGGGCATGTAGAGCTATCGTATTAATATGTGTTCTAAGCGGTTCCTATTCCACTATACACTTTGAAGCACTTAAGTTTAAAAAGATTTATTCTTGCAATTTAAAGTGCAAACGCACAGACCGCTAAACTTCGGAAGAACCAGCGAGTATCACCACATGCGTAATGTAAACCTTCAAAGCTTTTCGACTGAGTACAATTTAGGAAAAAACCGTAGTTCTTTTATTTTTTTCAGGCCAGGCCTTCGAATAAACGTGTTGACTCAGTAGTTGTTACTAAAAATAAACTGCTCTAAAATGGTTAATTCGACTTGTGCCATTCAAATTCGTAGTTTCATCATAAGATACATATATCTACTTAGCCATCATGGCTCAGCAATGAATTAGAACTCTAAATCTTCTGTAATAATTGTTTCTGAAATTATTTTAACATAAGAAGAGTAGGTGTCTACATAAATAGTACTACTATTGAAAAATACGTTCATTTACAAAAAAGCACAAAATCCCTAACTGAAAACGTATTTCATAAAAAGTAATATTTAGAATACCACTGCTGAGCCAAAGACCGGGGGTTATACCATAAATTTATATTTGGATGGGGAGTATAAATTAAGGGTGCACTAACATTCAAACCTCAGATTTATTACTATGCATCAATAAAAGCTACCTAATGATCAGCCACACGTTTGCATCTGACTAATAGTCAATTGATACTCCTATTGAGTTCTGTGGATAGGTGAGTTTCTAACATTTCATTGTACATTAAATCACGTTTGGCACTTGTTTAAATTGCAGTTTATATGATATATTATGCTTTTCAAACATTCTTTTCTACTCAGCTTAGCTGGGCACACGTTTTACGGCCTGTTTGGAATTTAACAAGCTCACCCTACCTGAACTAGTCTAATTTGTGGATTATACTACGTGATGCGTATTCATTAATTAATAATTAGACGCAAAAAGGCGAAACGCATAACAAGTGAAATTTATTAAGGAAGTATTTATGTTATGCGAATCGTCTATATGTGAACGAACACAGCATGTGGAATACTCAGGCAACTCCTGCTTCCATTATTAATCACAGCCACACAAAACTAATGTAAGATGATAAACATTTATAAACAATACACTTCCAAGAGAAGTACACTTGCCTGTAGAAAGAGAGAAAGTTCAAATACGAATAGTATCGAACGAATTTTTCAAACCCCCAAAAGTTAGTCAATAAATCAAAATTTGCGTAAAGCAGCATTTTCAAAGCTTTCACTTTTTGAACAGAACTTTGGAGCACCGACTGCGAGATAAAACGACCATTTAAATTTTAAGACAGATTTTATGCGGATCGACTCGAACCCCATTTTACAAGCTGTTCTATTGTAAATCGTAAACAAGTCAGTTTCGTTGTGGGTTTGTGCGGCAAAAGTTAACGACCGATCTTTCGGATGTTTTGGGTGCCAAATTTGAATAGAAATGCTTCAGGTAAGTTATTGGTTACAACAAGGTGGCATTTTAAATACGCCTAAGACGAAAAAACTGAAATAATGCACGAACAGGAGTGAAATTGAATTTGAATAAAGATGCAAAATGTAGATTGGATAAACCCTGGGAGCACAGCAAACACGCATCTCGCGTATCTGTGGCCCAAACAATTTGCAAATTAATGTTCTATATTATGTCAGACAATGGACGCTCGTTTATCAATCCAAAATATTTAATTAAAACATGCGGACAACGGATTCATAAAGATTTATGCATTTCCGAGGCGACGACTATGAAAATTGATTTAATTAAAATTTTGCGCTCGCGTCCCTCATTCACCATAAATTTCGTTCAGATTTCTTTCGATAGACAAACATCAAACCCCGATTTTCCATTAGATGTTGGTTCAGTTTTGCAGCTGGATTAAGTAGGTATATGCGGGACTCACCTGTAAAATACCTTTACTTCTCAACCCAAATGATGCTTCCTACGTCTCATCTTCAAAAACACGAAGCAAAAATGTCCACAGTCTTTAAATAGTTTCACCAACATTCAGAGGCGGTTACATCGAAACTAATTAGGCCATCTCACAGACATTGCATGCTAAATATCACCGCGACATAACAATTAACATTTTGACGATCATTGGAAATCGGAACTGATTCAGCGAAAAACCAAAAGGAACATCAAGCCCGGCAACTTTTTGTGATCCATCCAACGAATCAACCGTTCTTCGTATACGGTAATTTTATTCGTTGGGTTTCTTTTCTTATCACGTCCTACCGGCAGAATATCGAATTTGACATCTTTATATCGATTCAGCCTGGACCAGTTTTTCTACGTCTCTCATTGATCGTATCTCGGACAGTGATGTGAATGACAAATTTGATTTTTGTCGTCTGTCTTTTCTTGATTTATATTTCGAACTGCAAAGGAAAGCGGCTTTTGAGGTACAAAAACGGTTTAAGTATTGAAGGGCCCAAGCAGGGAATTAAGTGCGTATCTGTATAAAGGAGAAGCTGAAGAAGCAACCTTGAACTATGTTAAGTCCTGAGAAAAATCAACAGGTTCCTAAGTAAAATGAGATATACATTAAAGGTCTGGTACATTTGTATGTAATTCTGCTGTTTTATGTTTACTTCAATTCAATTATAAGTTGCAACAGCATTTCAAAATTTTCCTGAGGAATGTAATTCTTCTGCTTTTAACAAACATTGCCATTTTATGCAATCTATTTCAGTCCATGTTTTACCACCCTACAATGAACAATTCCAGAATAATAATTATTTGAATAATGCGTCGTTGTAGTTAACGACCGACTGATTATTCAATACAGAAAAGCAGATATTTACAATAGATATTTACAGATATTGCAGTGCATGTGCAGGTATTTACAATGATCGATTACGTAGGTATAAAATTGCTCAATGAATACGCCTTTCCAGCAGTATAATAAAGACAGGTTTAATTTAATAATGAATATCGTTAAGTTCATTTATTATTGTTAACTAGTAAGAAAAATGATGAAAAACGATTTTTACGATTTATTCTCAATTTAGGTACTTAGTCATTATTCATAGATAGTTATGCATTATTACGACAATTACCCTCGATTTATATTTTACTACAATGTTATGAATATATGAATTATTTGCTGTACAAACATAGATCAGTTGCGTTACCTAAGTATTATTTTTCAAAGACTTCCATCGAACAACTACATAATTCAGATTTTCCAAGTGCAGCACTATTACCCAGATAATTTATTGTAGTGAAAAACAGACCTGCATTTCTATTCCATAAATTACTGGTTGTAATTTATCAAACGGCTCAACATTTTGGCATGTAAATTGTTTAATTTCGCATAAATTCTATTAAAACAGTTAAGAATAGTAAGCAGATTGGAATATATTGCAATCTTGCATCAACTATGTGAAGCCATCATGAATTGTAGTCCTTGCGAAATTTTTCAGAGACTATTCGGCAATTGCTGACACAACAGAAGTCATTTCTCAGCATCTCCTTTATTTGACCACGGAAAAGTTACCTTTCGCGAACGACCAATGGAATCGAAAAGCTAATACACGCAACATAAACTGATGGCAACTAAACTCGCGGCAATTGGTTCTTGAACCGGAAGTAAACACTGAACCGGAAACTGATCGGTCGGTTCGCGCCACGTTCCGCTACTAAAATGAATCGTAGGAAGCTGCATGGACCGCCGTCGTTCCTGCTTAAATCCACACTTGTGTTAAGCATCGCGACGCTCCTCCTGCTCATGCGTCCCCCCTGCGACGCCGCCCCCCTTACTCAACAAAGAGGATTAGAGACGCTTTTGAGTTTGTGTTTATTCCCTGAACGAATCTAGCGACCTGTCGGTGTGGAACTGACGACGAGCCTGTCTCGTGTTTTGGTTTTCCTTTTTTGCAGGTCTATTTTACACTGTTATCTCGTGCAACGGCAATAAATTTAATTTTCCGGAGAATTAAAAAGCAAACTTTTAAACACACGTTGTCACTTTTTGAGGAACGACGACTGACGGGATAAGTTATGGATTCATCGCACCAACCGGATTTAATTGGCGTCTCAGTAAAATATTTGACTTGTTAGTTACGTTTGAATTTAAAATTATTTTAATAATTTGTCTCCTTGAACTAACGATATCAACTTCTGAGGAGCTTTGAACATCATCATGCCACAAGAAGTGGCAAACACGACAATGTTTTGAGTTAAAAAAATAGAGCGGCACGAATTTACAAAAAAAAATTGAGGATGCTTAAACCCATTAATTTCCAATTTATGTCAACTTCAAACAAATTGCAAAAAAGAACCCACAGAACCTAATGTTTCAAAATCGAAAAGATCGGATTATTTCTTTTTGCTGCGCTCATGACGCTTATAGGAAAATATATTCAAATCAAAAATAAGTGTCACTGTGCAGTATTAGCGCAAATCAATCATCTTGGTGCCTTGATTCATTGGTAGGTAAAGTGAAATGAGCACAAATCGACTAAAATAATTTTTGCGAAAAACAAAGAAAAAGTGGCAGAAATCGAGTATAAAGCACACAAATCATACAGACCGACAGTCTTGATAATAAATATTTTTTTTAAATAATAGATGATGTATCAGAATTGGGAAAGTTAAAACGAAACCCGGGCTGAAAGGTTTACGATCGATGCTGACAGTTTTAGAATCTGCCGGTCTCGTTTGAGCGCCGTTTTATTTCACATTTACCGGAAAGTTGCTGTCGAAATGACATACGACCATCAAGGTTGCTTTTCTTAAAATATTTATTTTCTTTTAAATGGGCGATTATTCTAAATTATAAGTTCTAGGAAGTTGACTTTCAGGAGGGCTGTCCCCGAAACTATCTAAATCTGGATCAAAGGAATGTTGAATCTATTAAAGACACAATTCTCTTAACCAAACCGGAGATTCAGGATTAAGAACCATCTACCAAATACATCGCAAGCAAGTAGCTAAGGACTTAAAATTTCTCAAGCATTCCACTTTAGACTCGTAATAATTTCACACATATGTCTTCAGAATAACACCCGATGTTACCTGTTACCGTTAAATGTCTAAGACTGAACATATACTTTTTGTTGTAAAACATGCTGGGTACATAAATGTCAAAGTCGCTTAATTTGCTAGGTGGAACTAACAAGAAAAACGGTGGTCAAGAACATAAAATAGTCTTTACAACTTCCTAAAGCATTCAAATTAAAATTACAGCTGGACTTTCTAGGTTTCGAATGTTCAAAACAAAATTATCATCTCTCCGATCTGTGTTAATTTTGTTTATAATTGAAGTCAAACTAGGTTCTCACTATATTATAATTTATATTTTCCGCCTATGTTCTAAGAACAAACTTAATTTATTTAAAGGGTCCAGCGCTAAAGCATGAAAATGAACAGAAAGAAACTGTTACACTGTTTAAAGAAAAAAAGTCGACCCAACAAAATTAACAAAAGGTGATAATTTAAAACATTTTGCAGAAAGATAATTCATATCAATAAATTTCACCAAGTAACATTAAAGTCTCCCGCTCACCTGCGTTCTTTGCGTTTTAAAAACCATACACAACTATTTTATTGTTGTTGATTTGCGTCTTCTTATTGTGAAGGTTGAATTTTATAGCACATTTACAATAAAATGCTTATTATGGCTTCAAGATCGTTAACTGTGTCTGGCTCCGTCACTTTTCACGAAATGTTCAAGTAACACTATCAAATCACCTGAAATATTACGAGCCGATATTTCCATGTGATGCCTTAAAAGACCCGATTTCAATTATTCATCTTACTTTATCAAGAGAACAACGAATAATCTAAAGAAAACCACCCCATAGGTAATTCTATAGAATCAAAAATAATAATAACCGGACAGAAGCCAGGAAGCAAAAAAAGAACATTTAACGAATATCTTATAAAATAGTGAACACAGATTTATCAGCATTTGTAATGCTTCCGACTGAAGTCCGTTAACACTGAAGCTATCAATGAAGGAAGTCTTTCCGGAATTTTTTCCAATTTGCAAGTGCAAACGTTTTCACGGTCTACTAATTGCCAGGAAATTAAAATTTATACAGCGGATAATGACCAATAACTTGTGCACGCACTAATACAGTTGCTTCAATAGGTTGGTCGTCCGACACTTATAATAATAACTGTCCAGGTAAATGAAAGTCAAGTTAAAATTCTTTCTTTTGGGAAAGTTTTCAGTTGGTTTATTTCCAAAGTTTTGTAAATGTTCAGAAAAAAACGATAAAAAATGTGCAAAATAAATGTCAATCAAACGGTATATTAAATCAATAACTCACTTTCATTCAACTGCGAGGGAATGTATGTTTCGGAAATTTTTAGTCATGAACTTTATTTAATCAAGAAATAATTTCGGCTCCTAAAATTTTTGAGCAATACTTTTGGCACTAAAAAATAGCGTAGAAAAAAATGCCAAATTAATTAAATGCTGAAAATATTGGCTTATAGGGCTGAAAAAAGTAGTTCCCATCTTGCAAAAATTATAAACATTTTTCATTGATTTCAATAACTTCAACTTTCGATTAAATTTCGCACAAATGCAAATAAATTACTTCCTGAAGTATCACGAAATGAAAAATTGTAAGCACGTTCTTTGGACAATCAAGTTGTAACCTTTCATTCTTTGAATCATTAGAAGTGAATGTGAATTCATTAGTTGCTTGCTAGTAGTGCCCAGGTAAACATGAGGTACTGATTTATACCTATATGAAAAAAATGAATTTGTAATAAAACAAGTGAAATAAAAATAATTGGTTTCAAACGGTTTGATTGATGATTCGGTTCCAGTTTTTGCCCACTGATTCTGCGAAAAAATCGATTGATACATTGCTAAATTGCATCAGATTACTTTATTTAAGACAAAATCTCGGCATAACTTTCATTTGTAGTCCAATGAGACTTCGGGTAGTTTGGGACTACCATATTTTTACACTAACACCTAGGAAGCCCATTTAACTAAGTCAGACTATCAGAGCAACTTAGGAGATAATAGAGAAATATTATGCACTGCATGCCACTATGCCACTAAGAGTGCCGCCGTTATATTGACATCTGCATATGCGCATTTGAATTTTAGTAAGGTCTGCCACTAATAAGCATTGTGTCTGCCGTTTTTGCAGCATGCAGTGTGGCTTCGTAGCTAGGAAAGGTGCTTGGAGGAAGGAAAACTATTTTCTTTTTGTTTTTCGATATGTTTTGAAATTTCTTCAGAAATAAATAAACACGAAAATACGCAAACCGCTATTTTATAAATATCTCAAAAATAAAAATATTTGTTTTTTCAAACGCGTACATGTCCCCTGATTGAGCAACTTTTTCCTAACTTAACCGACTCTTACGATTTCGGAGATCCCAATCCTTGTCTTGGATACCCCTTACGTTATTACCCGTACGTAGATATCGTAGCAATACGTCTTCAATTTTAAGTGTTTTATTTCACCACCTCATTTACTTTACAGAAAAAATTAAAATTGAATCAACAAAGTTGTATTGAAGAATAAGCTTACCATAGTGTTATTAGTGTCTGCATTACATAGCTACACACTTACCTGAAAAAAATGAAGAAAATAATTAGCGTCACATAATTACGTATATAACAGAGAATCACTTAAATCAGTTAACATTTCATGTAAATTTAGAACCACCAAAGACAGGCTCTAGCGAAGTTCAGGTTAAAACACCTCCTTCTAATTTCGCAGACGAAACCTTGAAATAGAAATGTTTTGAATTTCATCTCAACAGAAAATGTATTGAAGGTCAATAGTTCATCAATCATTAACGAAATTGCTGTTATCCTGTAAAAGTAGCTTAAAACTTCCCTCGAAACTTGCTCAACTATGTTGACAGGTAGAGTGATATATGTGCTGCATATTACTAAATTCTGTTAATTTCAACCAAGTTAATTGAAGTTATATGATAATGATTTAATTATAGTA